GGTCACACCCAATATCCACAAAAGTTAAATGTTTGGGCCGGTATAGTTAGAGGAAGAATTATTGGACCATTCTTCATGAGAGGAACTCTGAACGGTGATCGTTATTTGCAACTACTTCAAGAGCAGATAGTTCCAGAGTTAGTTCGTTTATATCCAAATCACAGAAATCACTTACAACTTTCTGATGAAATTTGGTTCCAGCAAGATGGTGCTCCACCTCATTTCGATGCTAGAGTGAGGCAGTACCTGAACACAATCTTTCCACAGAGATGGGTGGGTCGAAGAGGACATATTGAGTGGGCGGCACGGTCACCGGATTTAACCCCACTGGATTTTTTTCTTTGGGGCCATATGAAATCAGTAGTTTATAAGGACCTGCCACATTCGCTGGAAGAATTGGAATACAAAATAAGAATTGCTATTCAAGAAATAACACCTGAAATTTATCAAAATGCCTTAAGATCATTTGTTGATAGACTAGGATATTGTCAGGCAGTTGGAGGCTTTCACTTCGAACACTTACTTTGAGAGATTTGTAATACTTCGATTGATAATAATAATTATTTTTTATTAAATAAATGTTTACTTTCTATTTTGTTATGAACTCGGAGACCCTCAAACCTTACATTAATGGATTCAGAAAGAAAAGATCTATCTGAAAAAAAAATATAAATATAGGGTGATTCATTTAAAATTTCATCCGATGACGTCATATCTTGATAAATATGACAGATAATGAAAATCCCCAAGCGTCATTAAATAGTACATAAAATATACAAAAAACTTTATTTGGGTTAATTTTCAATACAATCCATAATTGAGCCACAAATCGGGTGTTCCCCCAATTATGCCCAACCCTGTATAAATAAATATTACATGTATTTAGTGTTTAGGCTTTATTCTAAAAATATTCTCACTTGAAGTTGCCGCAGTATTGTTTATTATTCTTACAGATTAGAAACATGGATGCCGATCCATCATGTTCAAAGGCTTATAGCAAACCAAAAAGGCGTCGAAATGAAGTTTTTCATTATGATGATCCTTGTTATGAGGCGAAGGTACTACAATGTCTACAAGAACTTGAAGAAGAAGACGATCAAAGCACATTGGCCCAGGTAATAGATGATTCAGATGTCGGGTCAGATTATGAGCCAGAGCAACTTACTGAGGATGAAGATAGGTATCATTCTGAAAGTTCGGCAGACGATGAGGATTCTCCCTTGCCACAAAGACGAAAGTCGAATAATTTTTCAGATACAGGTGTCACTAGTAACCTTGAAACTGTGACGTGTGATGTTCCTGAATTGCCTGAATATTTTTATGGAAAAAAGGGTTTCAAATAGAGTACCAAAGAACCAAATCCAAAAACAAAAGTGCCTGCGCATAACATTATAAGATGTGTTCCTGGAATGAAAAATGAAGTTAGGGCATTAGGTCCTGTTGCCAAGGCAGAGGATATCTGGTCACTTCTGATCGATGACCAAATTATTGAACAAATTGTTACTTGGACAAATGTAAAACTTACATCAACTAGAGATAAAGTAAATGTTAAACAAAAAAATAGCTACAGGAATACAGATAAAGTAGAAATAAAAGCACTAATAGGCGCCTTCCTTTTAACTGCCATATACAAATCAAATCATGAAAATATGTTATCTTCGTTTTCTACAAAACCTACTGGACGACCTGTTTTTCGTGCTATTATGTCTCAAAAACGATTTGAGATTCTTTTAGTTGCTCTTCGCTTTGATGACCCCAACACAAGAGAAGAAAGGAAACAGTTGGATCCAGCGGCTGCAATTTTACGGTGTTGACAATGGCGCCCAAACGTTGTTCAGGTGCAAAATTGTAAGTATTTTTCTCGTAAATATCTCTAGTGGTCTGGTGGTCTCCATTCTAGTTTAGGGGTTGACATAACATAGAAAAACATTCACAAACATTAAAGGTAGACATTCACTAATAAGGATAAAACTTTTAAAAGAATTTAATGTAAGTTTTCTCGTTTTCTACAATTCTACAGTTTGAAAATATTTAAAATAGATTTCGTAAACATAACCAAAAAATCATTGTTATTTTGACAGCACTGACAGCGAAAGCAGTGACTGAGATTTGACATTTCTCAGAACACATATTTTGCAGAATTACAGAGTACATTCGACGTTGTACTCTTATTTTTCTTGATTGTGGCCTTTTACTATAATAGACCTAGAGACGTTCTATAAATGGGTCAGAGTTAATAAACAAGTGAATTTATGTTGAAGTTACTTTATTTTCAATAAATATAAATAACATTTTGGAAGTGTTGAGATACAGGGTGATTCAACTTGATTGTTATTTGATAATATTTTCTTTAAGATTTTTATTTATTTTAACTTAACTACATGAACGTATGTTGGGCTTACATCCATTATTTTGGTTATATTTACTTGGGGTTTGTCAAATTTAAGCTGAAATAAACACTTTAATTTTTGTGTTGATAATATTTTTTATAGAATCCGGTGCGGTAGGATTTTATTTGTCAGATTAATTAGGTTAGTTCTCAGATTAGCTATAGGTACTACGGTTATGTAAATAAAAATTTGGCAAGTCGTACAATAGTTGTTTTAAAATAAGTAAGTAAGATTTAGGCTAGACGCTTACACAATGTAACAGTGTAGAGCTTTAGTTTAAGCCGTTTTAAGCTTAAACAATTATCATAAGTAGTAAACTGTAATTTTAGTTTTGTACGAAAGTGGTTTTCCTAAACCAATAACTTCACTTAATTAGTTTAGTTACCTAATTAGTTTAGTTACTTAGATAGTTGAGTGTAGTTGCTAAGATAATTGTTAATTTAGTAGTTAAACAGTGAGTTTTGTGTGAAGAGTGACCTTTGTAGATATTAGTGCAATATCGTTTTTTTTTTTTTAATTATAGCTGCGAGTACAAAATAGTGCACTTTTTAAATCAAGCAAAGGCGAACATTGTTACTGCGGGTTTTCTTATTGTGCAGCTTTGCTTTATGTGATTTTTTTTTGTTAAATATGGAAGTGAATAGACTTTTAGGTGATGAAATCACCTACGAATTGATGATAAGGAATTATCCTATTGGTAATACGGTCAGTGAAAAAAGATCTTTACTGAGCGAGGCACTCAGAATGGAAAGGGACGAGGAACACGAACCACCTGCAAGAATAACGATGGATGCGAATATTGAATTAATGACATGTGATTGTAAGCTAAATGATTTATCGGAGGATCTAGATCATTTCAATATACAAAATAAAAGCAATGAATACAGAAGGATAGCTTCTCGGTTGCTCCACCTTAAAAACAGGTTAGAAAGGTTAGCTTGTGAGGAGGCTTTTATGGCAAAGCAAAACAGTCTTATTACACTATGCAATGAATTACAAGAAAAGCTTCAAAATATCTATGATGAATTAAATAGAGTTAGACAGGAAAGGTCTATATTAGATGAACCTAATCCACTACTACCGGAGGTGCTGCATGACTTTAATAAACGTGTCACGGAGGACTCGGACTCAGATATCGATCGCCCTGTGACGTCGGTGGGTTTGGTTCCTTCGCCAAGTACACCAAGGGGGGAGGTTCATAAACTTTCGAAAGTTTCAACATTGAAGAATTTCTTTGAAAATGGGTTAATGGGTAGTCCAGTAAGTACCTCCCAAGATGGAAATCTTCCCATTACTAGTGGACTAAGATCTGTCAGAATACAAAGCCAATCGCAGGTAACTGTTCCGCACAGTAGCCAACATGTACTTCCACCTACAATTCATACTCAACCTGATAGGGTCTCCCACCCAGTTACAACCTCAAGTGTTATGGGTAACTACCAACAGTATCAACCCTTTGCACCTATCTACAGTCATTCGACGATGCTTCCTACAGTAGTTAGGCAACCAGATATATACCAGCCTAGTATTAGAAATACTTTTCCTGCAGGACAGGTACAATTTAACTCGGTTCAAGCAGGACCTCCATTTCACCAACAGCACTTTACTCCAATGTGGCATGATTATCCTCCTCCAGCCTCGAATAATATGGATGATGTATCAAGGTGGCCTGCGAAGTTTGATGATGTATCAAGATGGCCTACGAAGTTTGATGGTGTATCAAGTGTGACAAGCTTCTTGGAGCGGATCGAGGAGTTGAGGGTATCCCGTGGGGTACCTCAGGATCGGTTACTACGATCAGCGCCAGAGCTTTTCACAAAAGAAGCCCTTTTATGGTATAGAATGGGTACTTTTAATAGTTGGCAGGATTTAGTTACTTAACTGCGAACCGACTTTCAACCTCATGATTACGAGAATTCTTTATGGGAGGAAATACATAATCGCACTCAGGGTGGACAGGAAAGAGTAATTATTTATGTTTCAGTTATGGAGAACCTGTTTCGAAAATTATCGGTTATACCTGCGGAAGAGGGAAGACTTCAGATTATCAAGCGGAATCTTCTCCCGTACATTCAAAAACAACTTGTCACACAGTCAATCCTTACTTTAACTGAACTGATTCGAACTGATAGGATTATAGAGGAAACAGAAGTGCGTATGCAACGATTTTGTCCACCACCATCCAACACGAGACAATTGATCGAACCCGATTTAGCTTATCGAAAACCAACGAATCCTATTTTTACCATTTCTTCGGGGGAAAAGGTTGATTTGGTGTCAGAAACCACATCGAATAAGGATCCTGTCTGTTTTAATTGCAGAGAACCTGCTCACAGATTTAGAAAATGTAATAAACCTAGAAAGGTTTTCTGTTTTTGCTGTGGAAAACAAGGTGTGATCAGTACTTCTTGCTGTCGAAAAAACGGGCGAAATCCTTCACAGTAGGTCGACTGACGAAGGATCTCTCTTGTAAAACACCGACCAAACAAACAGAAGATATGGCAATTTTAAATTTTATACTGGCTCACGCAAAGGGTGAAAATGTGAAATGGAAATTTCGGTGGAGCACAGATGATAACCCAAATATCCGATTTTATGTCAAGAACAAAGATGATTATCAAATCTGGAGGGACTACTTTGCAAACAGCTGAAGTAATTTTCCACGCTATATTTGGGACATATCTGGAAGACATCGGAGTTCTTGGAGAAATAACCACCAGGGGAGGCTGGTCTAAGCGAAAAGCTCTGAACCCAGTGTTTAATGATAGGAGCAAGCAGCATGCAATCGTTGTCACACCCATTGTACACAAATATGTATCAAAGATGGCACAATCACTCCTAACAAAGACATTGGGAAACACTGAACCATGTTACACTACAAGACCTTCTTTCAACGGCAAGAGGAAGAGGACTTTTAACGAAGCTTTCAAATCATACTTGGACTCAGGCAAAGTTATGTCATCCTACTCATCCGACCCTATACAACTGCAGCTGGCCCTTAGAAAATTAAAGGACGAATTACGGAAAGACATGGACGCAGGAAAATTGGAGGATGTTGGAAACAAAAATTGGTTGGAGAAGAATGCTGAAGGAGTTTGGGTGGCTTCTGAAAAGGTTCCTACTGACAAAGGAATATCTTTCTGGGGACCGGGAGACTCGGTTTGATTTGTTTGTAAAAACCTTGTTTTGTTGCATTGAATAATTATTAATAAGAAAAAAAAAATAAATAAAAAGCAGAAACAGACAGTATTATCTTTCAATAGATTCTTAAAGCTATAAAATGGCAACTCAGGCTGTTCAAATGGAAGTGGATGTGGATGACCAACTAAGAAAGAGAGATGTCCAACTAACTAAAATATTCGCTCTTGTAGAAAAAATATTGTCTTATTTGCCGGAAGAAATACATCCTGGATACAGAAACGGTGAGCTTGTAATGGACCTTGATTTATCAAATGAAATAGCTGGGCTTGTCAGCACCATATTTACGTATATGAGGAAGAAAAACAACCCCCAAGTCAACACTGCAAAGGCTGACACATATGAAGCCAAAATTAGAGATGTCACATTCAAGATAAAGGAGATTGGGGACATAGCAATAGCAGAGTTGAACCATTTTGACTACATGATTGCGACACCCATAATGAACTTGCTTTGTGCATTCAAAATGTCCTTTGATGAAGTACGAGTGGGCACTACTAAGTTCATGGTCAGAAAGGACGTGGCTATGGCACAACCTAGAGGAGGGAGAAGGGGTGAACAACCAATCGACAAAAGAGACCAGTTTAGAACTATAACCGAGTACGGGTTGAGCAACCAACACATCCCATTGCTTCAGGGGATAACATTTTCTCCAGAGAGAAAGACAGGTCTGATAAGAGCTTTGGGACCATTGACTCAGTGCATCATGCTAATTAATGAAAACACCTATCCACAACGTATTGCCGCTGCATTGAAAGAAACGTTGAACATGTTGCCAATGCATAATGAGATAGTGAACCTGTTCAAGGAGGCCAGGGGTCCTGGATCCTGTCAGGGGGTGCTAAAAGAATTGGGAGATATCCTGATAATGACAACTGCAAGGTCACAACAAAAATTCTACCTTCCTATCCTGCTAGCTCAACAAATGTACTACGCAAAGGGCAAAAATGGAGATTATTCCGGATATGTTCAACGGGAAATGGAGCTTCCGAGAAGATAGTTACGTCGATAACATTGAGACCTGTGGGATACGGAATCTTGAATCTCTCGCGAAGGAACAAAATGGGTTAATGGGTAGTCCAGTAAGTACCTCCCAAGATGGAAATATTCCCATTACTAGTGGACTAAGATCTGTCAGAATCCAAAGCCAATCGCAGGTAACTGTTCCGCACAGTAGCCAACATGTACTTCCACCTACAATTCATACTCAACCTGATAGGGTCTCCCACCCAGTTACAACCTTAAGTGTTATGGGTAACTACCAACAGTATCAACCCTTTGCACCTATCTACAGTCATTCGACGATGCTTCCTACAGTAGTTAGGCAACCAGATATATACCAGCCTAGTATTAGAAATACTTTTCCTGCAGGACAGGCACAATTTAACTCGGTTCAAGCAGGACCTCCATTTCACCAACAGCACTTTACTCCAATGTGGCATGATTATCCTCCTCCAGCCTCGAATAATATGGATGATGTATCAAGGTGGCCTGCGAAGTTTGATGATGTATCAAGATGGCCTACGGAGTTTGATGGTGTATCAAGTGTGACAAGCTTCTTGGAGCGGATCGAGGAGTTGAGGGTATCCCTTGGGGTACCTCAGGATCGGTTACTACGATCAGCGCCAGAGCTCTTCACAAAAGAAGCCCTTTTATGGTATAGAATGGGTACTTTTAATAGTTGGCAGGATTTAGTTACTAAACTGCGAACCGACTTTCAACCTCATGATTACGAGAATTCTTTATGGGAGGAAATACATAATCGCACTCAGGGTGGACAGGAAAGAGTAATTATTTATGTTTCAGTTATGGAGAACCTGTTTCGAAAATTATCGGTTATACCTGCGGAAGAGGGAAGACTTCAGATTATCAAGCGGAATCTTCTCCCGTACATTCAAAAACAACTTGTCACACAGTCAATCCTTACTTTAACTGAACTGATTCGAACTGCTAGGATTATAGAGGAAACAGAAGTGCGTATGCAACGATTTTGTCCACCACCATCCAACACGAGACAATTGATCGAACCCGATTTAGCTTATCGAAAACCAACGAATCCTATTTTTACCATTTCTTCGGGGGAAAAGGTTGATTTGGTGTCAGAAACCACATCGAATAAGGATCCTGTCTATTTTAATTGCAGAGAACCTGCTCACAGATTTAGAAAATGTAATAAACCTAGAAAGGTTTTCTGTTTTTGCTGTGGAAAACAAGGTGTGATCAGTACTTCTTGCTGTCGAAAAAACGGGCGAAATCCTTCACAGTAGGTCGACTGACGAAGGATCTCTCTTGTAAAACACCGACCAAACAAACAGAAGATATGGCAATTTTAAATTTTATACTGGCTCACGCAAAGGGTGAAAATGTGAAATGGAAATTTCGGTGGAGCACAGATGATAACCCAAATATCCGATTTTATGTCAAGAACAAAGATGATTATCAAATCTGGAGGGACTACTTTGCAAACAGCTGAAGTAATTTTCCACGCTATATTTGGGACATATCTGGAAGACATCGGAGTTCTTGGAGAAATAACCACCAGGGGAGGCTGGTCTAAGCGAAAAGCTCTGAACCCAGTGTTTAATGATAGGAGCAAGCAGCATGCAATCGTTGTCACACCCATTGTACACAAATATGTATCAAAGATGGCACAATCACTCCTAACAAAGACATTGGGAAACACTGAACCATGTTACACTACAAGACCTTCTTTCAACGGCAAGAGGAAGAGGACTTTTAACAAAGCTTTCAAATCATACTTGGACTCAGGCAAAGTTATGTCATCCTACTCATCCGACCCTATACAACTGTAGCTGGCCCTTAGAAAATTAAAGGACGAATTACGGAAAGACATGGACGCAGGAAAATTGGAGGATGTTGGAAACAAAAATTGGTTGGAGAAGAATGCTGAAGGAGTTTGGGTGGCTTCTGAAAAGGTTCCTACTGACAAAGGAATATCTTTCTGGGGACCGGGAGACTCGGTTTGATTTGTTTGTAAAAACCTTGTTTTGTTGCATTGAATAATTATTAATAAGAAAAAATAAATAAATAAAAAGCAGAAACAGACAGTATTATCTTACAATAGATTCTTAAAGCTATAAAATGGCAACTCAGGCTGTTCAAATGGAAGTGGATGTGGATGACCAACTAAGAAAGAGAGATGTCCAACTAACTAAAATATTCGCTCTTGTAGAAAAAATATTGTCTTATTTGCCGGAAGAAATACATCCTGGATACAGAAACGGTGAGCTTGTAATGGACCTTGATTTATCAAATGAAATAGCTGGGCTTGTCAGCACCATATTTACGTATATGAGGAAGAAGAACAACCCCCAAGTCAACACTGCAAAGGCTGACACATATGAAGCCAAAATTAGAGATGTCACATTCAAGATAAAGGAGATTGGGGACATAGCAATGTAACGTTCATTTTTGGCCCCACGTTGGGCGCCAAAAATGTAACCTAAGAAATGAACTTGGTGATTCCACCAAAATTTTTAAACTTAAAAAAAAAAATTATTAAAGCATTAACTACAATTAAAAATGTTGTCTACTACGGTTACACAAGTTTCGGTTGTTCCGGTGTCAACCTTCGGGCCTTCGACGTCGCTCAGACGGCAGCTAGGGGGTGGATAGCTTACAAAAATTCCGGAAATAGTAGACAAATAAATAGGCGCCAACTGGGTCTATATAGTGGCCAAACTATGATCCTATTTCCCCAAAAACCCAGTAAATGAGGAAAGAAATAAAAGACAAACCTCAACTTATGTTCCTTTATAAAGAAAAAAATATTTACTAAATATACAGTCTAATTACCCAATGCCTTAGGTAATCAAAAAAAAATTGGAGGAAATTAAAAGGAAAATTTACACTGTATATGTATATGCATAACCCAAAATAAATTATTAAATCAAAATATGGCACGGTTCGTCGTTAGCTTGGTACCAGGCATGACGCTTGCGCAAATTATTAATTTCCACCTTACACAAAAAATAAAATATAAAATAATAGTTAACTTAAATATTGTGCATAACCGCACCTATACTACATCATATATTATAAACACTTATAATCCTTATAAGCTTAAAACCCTCTCCAAATTGGAAGGTGATATCTGCTTAACTTTTAGTTAAGACCAAACTACCCAAAAGAAAATTATTAAACCATGAAATTTTATAATTAAGTATAATTCATAAAACTAAATAAAAAATATAAAAATAAAATAAAAATACAACATATAAAGGACTTTAGACACAGAGGATATTTACTTAAACTCCCAGATTGGAAGAGGTTACTTAATCTCTGCCCCCACACGGGTCTTCTGAGATTGCTTAACTTAATCGTTAAGTCTGGACCATTTAATAATGAATAAATTGAATAAAGTAAAATTATGGCAGTAGCCCTTAATAACTGAAGAATTACAACTTAAACGTGGAAGCAGTCCAAGTGTTCTGCGACCCGAAGGATTACTACATCAGCATTAAGTGCTTAAATTAAGTAAAAATTTAAAATATTAATCAATTAAACGATGTAACATTTGATAATACTTAAGTTATGAGTGAAAGAACCCTAGAACATTCTGTGCTCAAAAGTATAAATAATGTTGAGAATACCTTGACAACATTCGGTTGAAAGTGAATGTATAATTTAACAATGCACGCATGAAACCTTCAATATAACGTATAAGAAAAACCTGATAGTAGGGTGTCTTCTTTCACAGCATTCCCATCTTCCTATCCAGAACAAGAAACATTCTTGTAAATCTAGCTACAAGTAAACTAGGTGGCTAGCATACCAATGTTCTGTGTCCCCTCGATGAGTCCACGATGAAACCGTTGAACTCCGGACGATATAACCCTCTGTGTACAACTGTTGAAATCCTGGGTCAACAATCCCTTGGGTCAAACTGTCGTCGAATCCTGGGCTAACAACCCCCTGGGTTAAACCCTTAAAATATTACAAAGAAAAATGTCAATACACATTGACTCAAGTATCCCGAACTATAGGATTACCCAAAAATGTACATAAACTAGAAAATATTCAGTATCTAGGATAAAGAAAAACTACATTGGCTCAACAGTGAGTCATAAACAGTATTATGAGCTCCAATAATTAAAATTCTGTTACACATGGTTGGTAACATAACCTAATATATACAAAACATACCTTTTTCGTAAAGGGTTAACTTGGTAGCCTTTCAAGGATGAGAACCACGTGAGATGATTCACAGTACAACAATATTCCACACTCCAAATGCTGTGAACTCCCGATTATTGCGTTAAAATCCTATATTAGATATGGGCTGGACCAATGACCATGGGAATTTACCAATTCACTAAAATTCCCCTCAAAATACGAAATGTCCATTTACCCACAATTAACCATGAAATAGAATCTAAAATCCCCTTTAATTAGGGTAAGCCGATGGGGCTAAATATTAAGAAAATTCTATTTCGACACAAAAATCATCCTTCTCGTGATTCAACAACCACTGACAGAGAAAAAACAATACGTCAGCCGTCCAAAATGGCCGAAATCCCTTTCCGATAAATGTCAAGTGGGTTCAGAAATTCATCCTCAAGAATTCCCCACTATATAACTTAACAGACCATTTACGAAAGGTACCCTAAAAACTATATTTATATACAGTATAACTACATTTGGGAAACTGTTCCCGACAAAAAATTAATAAACAGCGATCGCAAAAAAATCCCTCACGACTTAAAATCGCTCATTGTGAAACTACCTTACCTCGGGTTCTGAGCCCGATATTGGAACGTACTACAAACATGACATTTGTCGGTGTTCTGTCGTCAAATGACGTTTATGTCATTCACTGTCATAATTAATAAACATTAATCCAATTCTGACAGCTATAAACAAAGAAAATCTTAAAGAATGGTATCGTAAATAATTAATTACCCAAAGGTGAGACTATAATACATAATATATATAAATTTACAACGAAACTTGGTCTATTTTTAGGAGGGTTACCATCCT